AAGTTTAAGTAGTCCAATGAAATTGCCTAACTAACTTAAGGCTACTAGTTGGTCTTCATTAAGCATATCCTTGACATATCCTGAGACGTAGATAGTGCAGTAGCTAGTAGGTTATTCATTCTAACAGGAGTCTTGTGTCATCATACTTAGCTGTGAATAAGAAACAACCTAATGTTAACATTGGACACCAGTGTGCTTACCTTTTTCTGATTCATCCTCTTCAGTTTCCTAGAAGAAGAAAAAAAGCAGAGTTGAGCTGACAAATATTTTATGGTAATTTGCAGAGCAAACCAAGTGTAAAGAAATAAATGCAATATTTCATTGTTGTTTTTAACAGAAAAGTACATGCTACTGTTTTATGAATCCTTAAAGCATCATTCCAATCTCACAAGCTAGAACACTTTCAGCTAAGAAACAAAGTGATGATGAGTATTACACACTGCATATGTTTTTCCCTACAACTTTACAGAATAATATGTCAGAGGATTCAGCCAGTATGAATTAATAAAAAAGGTCTGAATTGCCAGTATGGGAACCTAGTTAACCATTTCAGAGCACAATTAATCGTACACTGCCAAACTAGCTCCTAATAAGGTAATCAGACAAGGTATCATACGATACAATTGAAATGATCGTCACTGTGAGAGTTTATTTTTTAAGTTATCTTTTTTAGCATCAGTATTAGTATAGGGGAAGAGAGAGCAAACACACAAGTGCTACAGGGGTTGGTTAACATTTATGCAGCAGAATTGTATGCAAAAGTCACCTTTGATAATACATCTTCCTCCCCTGTGGTGTCTGCATCAGAATCCACCCTTTTCCCTGAATGGTGAAAAAAACAAAAACATTACAAATCTACATTTAAAAAACGAAAAAAGTATTGACTCTAGCCATCCTGTCAGGCCTGGTTCCAGAACAAAATGACTGAGGGTGCATCTGAGATTAGAGAGGGTGCAGTGGTAAAGTGCTATTTTTATAAGTGGGGAGTGGACCTAACACCCTCTAGGGGGGTCCTCACCTCCTCTAGGGGGGTCCGGGGGCATTTAAATATTGAAGTTAAAAGCATCAATCTGGTGCACTTTGAGAGCAACATTAAGAGATCTATGTGCTCTTTGCTTGATTCATGCCTTCCCAGTCCCTTATCACGTACAAGAGCATGGCGCCAGTTGTTGTAGCCAGTTGTGGTGAAGGCATCTGACTTACTTGAACCGAAATGTCTACATGCATAGCAGAAGATGGCATCTTTTTTACATGAATATTCCAGCCAATCTCGGTTTTGAACCATGAGCTGCCTCCGTGGGCGAGTCGGGCGTTAGTTTCCATGACATTGGCCGCGGGTAACGTAATGTCCCCATTATCTGAACTGTTATTACCTGCAGTAGATGCAGTGTTACTGCTGGCGATAAGGACTGGTTGTTTTAACCATGTTCTGATGTCCATCATTGACTGCTGTGTAAGCACCTTGCAGATGATGAACGCGCAGCCACACAGGTCACGCGCACCTGACATAATAACGTTACTTACCGTTTAAATTGACCAAATAAATGCAACAGACTATTTATTTAACCACAATTACAATTTATTTTATTCCAACTATATCCTTCTTCTTATTACTACTATTAGTATTATATATGTAATATTTTTCACTTTTCAAATGAGGGTGCATAACGACACAACTGGAATGCCCCCCGTAGAACCGGGCCTGCATCCTGTCTCAACTATTAGTCAAAATAAAATTACCTTTAACTTTCCCATCTTTGCGAGTTGGTGGGTCAGCTGTAAGCGGGATCTCAATATTCTCGGTGTCACAATCTTCATCTTCAAGAGCCTTAAAAAAAAGATTGATAAAAAACAGTTAGTAGTCTGAGACCTCATGTTTGCCTCGTTTCTTCATTCATCACATCAGTCTTACGACCAAGAGAGTAGTGTTATACTGTGTAAGACGATGTTGAAACCCTGCCTGTCAGTAATCACACCAAATTGTGCTATCTTATAGAATCTACTAGTAGTATGCAAATTGTGCTCAAGGCTGTAGATGATAGCACTTATTGGGGCTTCTTTTCTCTCTTTTAAAAAACACCATCCCAGGGTCTAGGCAGATGTAAAAACAATTGTATGCCTTCTAACTCTCAACATTGTATTCTTGGTTTCTCTTTTGCTGGGAAACAACTTTGAGGTAAAAATGTGAGGTTTTATTTTTTAGACACTGAATATGGTATATTTGCATAATTGTGAAATTAAAGCTATTTTTAAAGTCTGACTGAACTAAAAATGGTTTTAATCGAATCCAGAACGATTTACAATCAATAGTGCGCTTACCTTAAAAACTATTGCATAACCACATTACCATTTCTTAATCTTAAACTATAATCTTATCAAAACACTTTGAGCAACAAGCTGTCCATAACATCTGCTCAGCTGAATCTACGTATTGTTAATCTATGATATTAGAAAGGCAAGTCTAGAGTTTATGTCAGACTTGGACTTCGTTTTAACATCAAGACCAAAATGTAATAACTCTGAATCCCTAACGCAGTGAGTTTAGAGATTACTTCTTCTCACCTAACCATGAAAAAAACAGGGAAGACGTGTGCATTAATACCCTCGAGGTTACAAAATGCTAGTCCAACGTGATCAAATTAAGAACCGAAGACACTTCTGCTGAACCTCTTTTAAAAACGCATTTAACGAGTTTGTGCGTGGTCCTCCCTAGAGCTGGTCAACAATCAAGTTACATCTGATTTAAAAAGCTGTGCAATATGTTAATGTGCCAAAAAAAGAGGATTAGTTATAAACTCATTTTGACGTCGTTGGAAGAACAGGCGTGCCATTCATGTCTGTTGTGCACCCTTAGATTTGCCATGCATCATAACAATTATTATTTTTCTGTATTTAACCATTCACTCGAGAACATAATTTCACCTTTTCTTTTAGAGAGGTGTTGATTTATTTTGTTTATCCAGGGTGTAGTTAAAACACATCAACAAACGATCGTTAGAATGATATCGGTCATAGTTGCTAACGTTAGCCTTAGCAACCATGCATCGCATTCCCTAGCTCGGTCGACCATTCAAAGCATAAATCAGCTTTTTTTTCATTACCTGTCTCAGTCTTGCAAGAAGAACACTCTTTATACCAGTAGTGTCCAAATTCCTTCTTTTCAGCTCGGATTTAAGATCAACAACTCTTAATTCTGATATTTTCTTGGACTCGGTGGAAATGGCACCCGTCGCCATTTTACCTCAAGATTACTGAATCGTACCGTGCGCCTGCGCAGTAGGTTTGTTTCCTCGCAGCTTCTTCTTGGTTGTATTTATTTGGACCATAGCGGTTTGGACGCGATAAAAAACTGCTACGCCACCTACTGTGTTGGGGGAACCAGTGCATTAATAAACTAAAACACATCCATAACATGTTTAATTAACACAACAGATAAAAGGCAATTAATTATAGGCTACACATATTTTGTTTTTTACTTGTGTCGAATTGTTTCGCTGTGTTGCTTGATACATAGCACTACCCAACACCTGTAATATAATACTAGTCAATATACACATGTTCTTGTAAACTAGTAATCATAGTATTTACTACCGTCATCCTGCAGCTAATTCATAACGTTCTACAATTTTTTTAAATAAATACCTACCTTTTTATCCTTGAAATTATTTTTAATAGGTTAATAGGCTATGTCTGCATGTCACTTTACTAACTGTTTTCATTGTGTCTCTTTACTGTATCGATGTACATTTGTTCTAATAAAGGAATTCTGATTCTGAAATGGCGTTAAAGGGTTTAGCAAGAACATTTCCGACGCTGTTAAAAAATGTAATATTACATGGCATGGTTTCCTGGGAGATAATTAAGAATGCAAAAAATCAAAACATTAGTCCTTGAAATGTACGATTTATAATCTTTACTGAAAACCCAGTTCAAGTGACATGCAGATGTTTACCTATCTTCAGGCCACAATTCATAGTGCACACATGTACCCAGTCGTTGAATCACAGAACATATTCATGTAATTTTATTGTTTCAAAATATAAATCTAGGCTCTCTTCTGTTATCTAAACTTGCCACACCAGGCAGGCTCAGATGGTTATAGAAAAAAACAAAACATATTAATTACATAACTAAAAGTCAGCACACACTGACTTACTGAGACATTTGTAGAAAATATCAAATATCAAGACAAGAGCACAATGAACCTCTTCAGGTGAAATATTCAAATTAAATTATCTTATTGAACTGCTCACAGCTTCATATTATTCACTGATGTATATTATTACTTAGGGCTATGATATAGGAGTACACTGAGCAAAAACGGCATTTATGTGCCATTTATTTACGAGGCTGTAAATTAGAATATATTCTCCTGTACTTTTCGTATTTTACACTAAGTACAATTTGTAAGGTAGGCCTATTTGTCCATTATACTTATTTATACTTATTTCGATCTACATTTTGTAAAACTTTATTCTACTTTTTACTCTACTGCATCTGGGACCATTAGTTAGGCTACTACTTTCCATATTCAGATGAATAATATTATTTAACCATTAATCTACCCGGCAGAATATGGGGAAATAAAGAATTAGCTTCAGTTTTTACCAGTTTTAACATTGAAGTGATGTAAAATTTACCACGTGAATAATCCTAATTTGATGATATGATAGACATATTAAATTAGCCCTTCTGCACACGTCCAACCTTTATCCGCTAGTGGGCGCTCGAGTATTTGGAATCGAGGATTTAGGGAGAGTTATGCATGCAAAAACAATTATGCATCATCTGTAGCCTTCAATGAAATCGTAAACAAAGCAAAGATGTCTATAATTATACAGCACTTTTGAGGCACTTTTTCGAATTGAAACGGGGCACGTGAATTGTTATTTACACATTCTGCGTTGAAAAATGAAAAGGATTTAGTGGAGCTGTTGCAAAGTGTCGTAAAGTCGCTGACGGCTGGCCGCGATCTGGCGCTCCCTTTCGGCAGAGAGGGGAACAGCTGTGTTGTATGTATCAGGCGAACAGACGACCTGCTGGGTAAACAAGAGTGGATGCATCGAAAGGCAGGAATGGCAACTTCGTCGAGGGCTTATAGTGCGACATTTCTACTCAGTCAAATAGAAACACAATAGACAGGTTGGTCTACCTTTTTGAATTTGATATGATTGCTTTGTGAGGCTAAATGGCTTAGTATGATCGGGTATTTGCTGAGTGAAGTGGAACTAGCCTTTACGTTAGCTTAGCTTGTAGCCATCCAGGGCCCATTGCCTTCGATGTTGCTTCTCGTCTCAGCTCGGGACTGTGTTGTCAGTTTCACAATCCCAGCCACTCTCCTCCTCGGATCGCGATTTCTATGCAGGCCTGTCTAGTTGCATTTAGGGTTAACATTTGGATAAATGCTCGTGTACAACTCTTGTCATTATTCCCCACAGGATATCACCTCTCATGTTACAAAAAGGACGGTGACATATTTTGAGAAAAGGACTTAGACCCAGGTACGTGCTGTCTTTGTTGTCTTCTGTCTGGAGTAACTAATATGTGTCAGGCTAGGTGGCTAGCTATCTTTTTTCATTTCTCTCGTGTCTTTATCTTAATTATCTCAATATAAGTTGATAACCATAGATATGCATCTTTAAATGGTTCTTCATTAACTCGAGTTTATCTGGCCCTAGTGACTTCAGCAGCGTTTGTGGGATACACACAGACAGCAGCCGAGCTTATTGTAATTGTTTAGCGTTGTAGAAACTGCTTAGCCTCAGTTTCAGGCTGCATACTGTCAAGCTAAATACATCTATGATGCTCTTTTTATTTGTGCTTGCCTAGCCAGAATGGTTGCTAGTCGTTTAGGAGACAGAAAGCACAGAGAGAATTGTTAGCAGCAGCTCAGCAGTCCTGTCTCAGTCGTACATCTTGAATTGGTTTGCTGTTGCCATTTCTGTTACACCATATGTTTCATGATAAAAGTAGCTGCGAATGCTATAATTGATAGTATCTGCAGTATCTCTTACTTATAGTTTTGAGTACCATTTATTTTTTTATTAGAAATGTGCATTATTCAGCCTTGGTGCATGGGTTTTTTTTCCCTTCAGGGCTGTCCTCTGAGGCCCCTGAATTCATGCATGTCATTGCGCAGCTTCCTCTGTGGCATCTGAAGGACTCTCACTTATTAACTGAGTTGTATATAAAAGCAGAAATCACTGTGGCCTATGTCAGGCATCATAAACCTCACTAGCTATTTTTCACAAAGGTTGCAGCTTCAGGTCAAGTGACAACTAACATGTTACTATGAAATCAGTTGTGAATGATTAATGCAATTACATTACTTAGTATATGTTCAGCCACATCACATACTAGTTAATGCAGTGCAACCACAGGAATACCAATAACACATTTACCATCTAATCCAGTCCTATACAAAAACCCTGCAGCAACACAACCAGGAATGTTGTTGTGTTACATTTTTACTGTGCCAGAGGGATGGAAAGGGAATTGTGAACAACTGCTCCACTATGGAATACAATGACTTAAATGCAGTAGTTGAATGTTTAGGCTATGTTTTACCATGTTTGTAAGGCTTTGTTTATTAGAAGCTTGATTTCAATGAAGGTAACATTAAATAGCAATCTTGATAGATGCAAGACATCCAAACGTCTTAATATTGGTAGTAGTGTAGTCTCAGGAAACAATGTTGATGGGACTAGCACAGCATTGGTTTCGCTAGATCAGTTGTTCTTCCAGATAGACACATAGACAGGGTCAGTACAATATGTTCCGAGATACCTTTGTGAAAGTAAAAGTAGCTTTGTGAATTTGTTTTCTGATTACATCATATCAAGAAGTGTGGTTGGCTTGTCACTGTGGGTGATATCCCTACAAGCGTATAGTGCATATTAATCATGTCCTTTTCTTCAAACTGTTCTTAAATTATTAAAACGCAGTGTGTTTTTGCTAAAAAATACAAAATTAGGATGTCCAAACTGATTCTTTTGATCGGTAAAAGTAAATAAGCCTCTTAATTTCACTTGATTTGATATACTTGAATTGTTTTCCAACATGCAGCAATATCACAATATCCTGCTTGTGATCTAACCATTTAGGGGGATATTAGAATACATATCTATGGGCATATCATTCAATTGCATCCATTGCATTCAAATTAGCCTTCAGGTGTGTTGACAGCTGAGGGCTTGGGGACTTTTGATCTTGAGTCAATTTGTAAACCTTGTTTCTCAGAATCATGTTCCTTGTCAATGCTAACATCGCCGTTGACTTGCAGAGGGTGTAGTAGGTCACGACATGAGCCATCTGAAAATCGAAGAGTCTTAACAGAGACACGTACGCTTTGTTGTATTTCGAAGAAGCCTAGATTTCAGCAATGCTGGAATTTGCCGTTGCTCCGGGAGACCTTACACTGCTGTGAAAATTCCGCCACTGTAACATGCCTTAAGAGTCTCTTTTTTTGGGAGTTACTTTTTAGTGATCAACATTTTTAACGAACTGTCCCAAAGTCAAGACGTAAACATGAGATCAGATTAATGGTGGATATCCCCCCTTGGGATCATATTTGTATTAAGTCTATTTGAACTGTTCCATTGAATCAAGAATAAAGCAAACACATCAGTATTGACTCAGCCATTACGTTTGACTCAGCCTGAGGGTATTTATTTTCTATCTTTAATCAACAACCTTGGGTCCTGCGGTCTTAATTTGTACTAACAAACATAATGACTGAGTGAATGAACATGTTTCCTACATGGAACACTGAAGTATTGTAGTATTGCTTTTTGGACTGTGTGCTGTGCGATCAGTAAAATGCCAGAAAATAACCTGGATTAATATTTAGTTTGAAGATATTCTGATGTGCTTTGATGTAAGTAAGTTATTGATAAAAGACTGATGTCAAACAACTATCCAAGGACAACATACTGAGAATAACAATTATCATATGATCTGTATTATGAATATATTAAGTGATCTGGAAAACAATGTAAAGTTTGATGCTACATTTGTTTTCATCTAATAGTGTGACTGAAATGTGCCTCTCTTTTACTACCTAACTTTTGCTGTTTATTTTGAAACCTTTTAAGATTTCCGTGGTAAACGTAGGTATTATAATTTCTCCAACAAGCTGTGTCGTCAATCCTGCAGAGCCTAACGTTGTTACATTTAATAAAGGTTCCATTTTTTTTATAGTGATCTCATGGATGGAATCCATACATTTAACGTGGTCATACATTATGCATTTAAGCAGCAACTAATCGTATCCTCAAACCAAACTAATCACATTGGATTGACCTATTTAACATATTGAGTCAAAGTTGATCTTGACAAGGCACCATGATTTATCACTGATATTTGAACAGGCCATTGGTGACTGGCTTACGTATGATGTATACTTAACAGTGTATTTTAGCATTGCATTGGTGGATGAATGAGAATAGTTAATTTCATTGTCAAACTCATAACTAATTGTGATGTTTTGCTTTTAATTCTTGGGAAATTGGTTGTCCTCTTCGGATCATTTGAACGTTTTTAGTCATTGACATGTTTTGTCATTCGGCAATCATGCAGCACAACGGATTGTGCACCTGTAACTCTTTTCCCTTCTTTTTTTCCAGGTTTTGTGAGATGCAGCGGATAGGTGCCTAAGAGCTGATGCGAGAGCCCTTTCTGTTTACCCTTTAAGGACGCACCTGCCACCATGAAGAGTGAGGTGCCAACTGAGGCCCCCAGCAGACAGGAGCATCTGAAGGAGCCGCTGGTGAACCCAGAGCCCATGGAGGCAGCCAAGAGCTTCCCTGACAACATGGAGGTGATCGGAAAGGCAGGCAGCGAATTTGAAACCCTGTGTGAGTCCAGGCATCGGCCCCTGAGGGACACAGGCACACACAGAGACTCAGAACGGACCCTACCTGGGCGCAGAAAAAGAAAAGGCCAACAGGCAGGGCCCTCAGACTGCTCGCTGAAGGAGGGCCACATCAGTGAGAGTTCACTGGCCCCGCAGCGTCCCAGGGTAGAACTTTTACAGCACCCCAGTGAGGACGAACATAATCACGATTCCTCCTTTAGTGACTGTGCTTCTTCCCCTTCCTCGAGCCTGCGATTCGGGGACTCGGACACTCTTAGCTCAGAGGAGGAGGGGGGGGAAGCTGGAGCAACAGGGGGCCAACACAAGGCTCCTGCTCTGACGACAGGCGGAGCCGCTGGAGTTGGCCTGCGCCCTGTTCTGGGTCGAACTCGGGGGAATCGCTCTCATAAGTGGGTGCGGTCTGAAGCTGAGCCAGTGCTGCTGAAGCGGCCGTGTCTGAGCAGCCGGCGGCCTCTTCATAGGAAGCGCTTTTTGAAAACACCTCCTGGAGGGGGTCAGCGGACTCAGAAGCAAAAGGAACGACTACTACTGCAGAAAAAGAAACGCGAAGTGATTGCACGAAGGAAGTATGCTCTACTCCACAGCACCAGTAGTTCCAGCGAGGAGCTGAGTAGTAACTCTTCCTCCCCCTCGTCTACGGAAGCAGAAGATGAGCTGTATGTAGATGTCAGCAGCACCAGCAGCCAGCCCAACAGTGCTACTGTAGCCACAGGTAATTACAAGCCATCACTCTACTACAGTTTTATGAATGTGTTTCATCGCTGTTTAATATTGTTTTACAGCATTTTACAGATTGGTTTCAAGTAGGCTGTATTATATTGTTGAAAGCATTGTAAACCAAAGGGAAGGCTCAGGAAGCATAATACTGTTGGATTGCAGTGTGATCACCATAGCACCACGGACTACAGAGTGACTATGCATTCAGGGTCAGTCATTGCGTGTATTTTTAAGGCTCACTTGGAGAAGGTAAATGTATTTTATTGATAAACAATCCATAAAATAAGCTTTGAATGGCTAACACAGTAGGATAGGGCCGTTTGTAACTGATGTTAGATAAGAGGGCTGAAGAGTTATCAATATCATGAAAAGTATGTCTCCTTATGCTCACAGGCACCAGAAACTCTAACGTTGCAGAAGTGATGCACACTCCAGCATGAATTAACATTTTGAATGCTGTAAATTGATGCAATAGGAGTTCATATTATGCACTGAAAAGCAGAACAGAAACACAGAAATTACGAGGTCAACACATTATACAACTTTCAAAATGAGCTGGCCTTACAAAATAGGTTGTTAGTGTTGTACATTGTTAGTGGTGTTGCTTTCAGAAAGTGTTAAGCTTGTCAACCAAAGATTTCCAGTTCCCTTCACTGTTAATATGGGAAATGAATTGTCTATAGCAGAAGTGTGATAATGGTAAGCGATCTCACTTATTGTCTGTTTACTAAAGCAAGATCAAGAGTCTACAGGTTTTTTATTCTGCACCTGGTGATGTCACCCTACCTCTCAACCAGAGAATAGGGAGTAAACAGAGAACTCACCTCATATGTGTTCGGCTGTAGTGAAAACATCACAAATGGCTCATGCCTTCCACATGGCATCCTATTGCTGCTCGAGTGAGTCCCACATTAAAATACTAGGAGGTAAATGTCAAAAAAAGAAGAAGTATTAAAGCCTTTAAATTCAGTTTTGCATAAACAAGGTATCGTTGCAACATGCATAAGAATATGGTCTGTGTGTCTTGTTATGGTTTGGGCACAGCTGATGTAGGAGTTGCTACTCCCCTCTGCTGTTCATAGTCCCACACCTGGCAGGCTGTAATGGAAACTGCAGCCCTCTGTACCTGTCAGAACAACAGGTTTATACGCCTCCTAAATCTAAACTTTCTGCTCTCGTATATTTTGAACTAGCCCTTTAGCCTCAGCAATTCTTCTGCTGCTGTGATCCTATGGGAGAATGGGAAGTTATTTGTTGTGCCTCTATGGGGGGGGGGCTGGGAGGAAACTCAGGCTCTGTTTAGTGACAGCCTTTGCATAGATACAGCAGGTCTCGCAGGGAAAACCAGGCATTTGTTTACAGTAGGCGAAAGTGAGGAGGCAAGTGATGAAACCTGCCTTCTGAAGGCTGGAGCAGGTGTGTGATGTAGCCCAGGTTAATTCTACCTCTAACACAAGGACAAGTTCATTAATTATATGAAAAGTTGACTTTATATGCCATTCACACCTGCACTGTTGTTTTAAGATCAAATATAAATCCCATTGTCCATGCTTTTGACATCATCAATAGCAGTTAAAGGAGTCGGTCCTGTAAATATCAGCAAATGGCTTGTTGGACTACAGAAAGTTGTCCCATGTTTTTGACATTTTTGATCCTGAGTTATGTTATAAGGTATTTATTTGACCTAATAAACCCTGCACACATTACAATTATCTACAAGTTGTAAGAAAAGTAGGATGTTGTTGTTTGTGTAACCATGTGAAGGCTTCACCTCAGTGCCAGGCACCACGTCTTGCAGAGGGTGCTAAGCAGCAGTTCTCAGGGGACATTTGGAATATAAATCACACTAGAGAATTATGGCCAGGCACTAAGTGTTGTGCCCAACAGTACAGTTTTCTTTTTCTGCAGCATAACATTGTTTGACTTTGTTAATCACTAACACAACTACACAAGTTATGTAGCAATTACATTTAGTGAAAGTACTATATTGAAGACAAATGTGTTTATAAAGATTGGAAAACAATAAAGGTGACAGAAAAAGGTTATTTAGATTTAACTCTTTAGAATTTAGAAGGGGACTTGTAACTTTGTTACGGCATACTTTACGAACAACATTTGTGTAACGATAAAAGTTGTTGTGCTCATTTTATGAAATTTGTAATAATGTTATACGATACTCTAATAACTGCCATTTATCAGTACCACCCTCATCTGTGTTCGTTTTGATCCCTTTTGAAACCACCTACCCGTGTGAGCTCACCTGAGGGGGCTCACACGGTATTTAGTTCAGGCAGAGATAAAGTGAGATCTAGTGCACAGGCAACCAATCACAGCGCAGATTTAGGAACGTGGAAATGGAAAAAGCCAATCCCAACGCAAACAGAGTTGAGCACTGATGACCTACATTTCTCCCGGTAAACTGTTAAGCCTGATGATACTGCTGTTGGCATGATGAAACTGGAGAAATACTATCTGGCTACCTACACAACTTGCTTTTTCAATTGAAGCCATGCAAAAAGACCAGAAAGGCAGAACCAGGCTTACAAAAGTAACCCAGTAAAGTGTGAAATATAAATGTAATTCCTTATAAATAAACCCAAGCAGTCAAGCTAGAAGTTATTATTTCAAGTATGTATTTTCTGTCGATTGTATTGTAGTTGTAAGCTTTCTCTGCTTTTCTCAGATTGTTTTGTGTATGTCTAAACTAATTCAACTGGTGTGCAGGTGCCCTGGATGAGGATGTGGTTGTGATCGAGGCAACTCCTGCTCCAACTCCTGCTGTCCCTGCGAGCGAGGAAATCAACGTCACCTCAACAGACAGTGAAGTGGAAATTGTCACAGTCGGAGATGGTTTCAGGTAGGCACTTCAGCTTTTTCAACATGAAATGCTTATGTTCATTTTACATTACAGTAGCTTAACTGCCCCGTACAACAAGGGGTATGAAGTTTATTTATAGTGGTTTGTTTTAGAGATGCGCCGTTCATGGCAGTTTTATTCTTCTGATTTAGTTTTCTGTAAACAGCGTGTGGTCCCTCCCTTTGCTTTGTCTAAAGGTGTTAGCAGGCAGGAGGACACCACTTTTTAGATGGATAATAAATATAGAATATTTTCTTGTTTGAACAAAAAGTCAAATTTTCCCCATCAAAAGAAAGTTACAAAAATGTGTGTGTATGCTGACGGTTATAGTTTGGTTTAGGACCTAATATTGCACCCTGAGGTACACCACAAATATTCTTGCCAAATGAGAGAACATTTATTATTGTGAGTTATCTGGACTTTTGACACCTGGAGCTCAGGACAAGCTTCTCAGTTTTACTTGCATGACTGATCATGTGGTGGTGTTCCCCTTTCTTAAAGCGTGAAGAACCCCCTTTCCTTTTTATGTGTTGATTACTAGGCTAGTCTTTGTCTTTTTGCTTTTTTAATAACAATAACATGTTGTGTTTTATTCCTAATGTTTGCCTTTGGCTGGGTTCTTTACTTGAACTTGGATGTTAGTCAATAGTATGCCTTGTCTTTTTATTATTACTCATCCTATCATGAAGCACCAGGATTAGGGCGTCTTGAGCGTGTGTCGCACTTGTGATAGCGCACATGAAGCAACAGACAGGGAACAGTGAATGAAGCAATATTCTGGTTGTTTGGAAAATAAACAATTGGACGATAAGCTTGGATGGACATTTTATTTATGGTTTCACTCTGAAACCTCTCTTAATTGTAATAAATTGTATTTATTATTTATTCAAGATGACTATAGAAAACAACCATTTGGGTTTTGTCACTATAAACATTCTTGTTTATTAATAGCCATACATGTATGGACACTCAATTGCTCGCAGAAATGCGGTTTCACTTGATTAGGACTGTAACTACAGTATCTGTTAGTGTTTGCATGTATAATAGAAGTAAAAAGGGAGTAAATGCAGTTTGCTGATTGTTAACGTTTAAATTCTGTATGGTTTTGTTATGATTAAACAGCAGAGGGTGGGTGGGTTGCAATGTACTCAAGTGTTTTGCTCATTCCATAGCTTGCATTGCCCAAATAGAATAGGCGGCCTGCATGCCTCGTTGTTTATAGAAACAAAACCACATCAGGCTGAAGGGACCTGCTCTTTGCCCATGTTGCTTGATTCTAGAAATGCCATACATAAAGCTGGCTGCTTTTGAGAACAAAGGTTCATAATAAGTCGGTGACATGAGTGGGCAGCTTGAGTGGCAAGGGAATAGTCTTCAGTTTGAGCACGCTGAAGGGTCATTTGCAACCAAACCTTTTGCCCTTCATATTATATTACTTGTTATTAACACTGACTGTGTTGTTAAGAGCAAGTGCCATAGTGAAACACTAAATGTTATATTTTTATTTTGAGATAGAATACTAAAATGTTTTCGATCGCTCTAGCCCATTTGCTAGAAAATGTTACCTGGTTTCAATTCATTTCTATAACACAGTTTGTAAAGGTCAGAAAGTAGAATGAGGCAGGTAATCATTTTCAGTCAACAAATCTCAACAATGATTGTAGATGCAAACAGTGATATTTAACTGGTAATGGCAGCGATGTATGCACAGATAAATGTTGTATATTGAGCTGTTTAAGAGGAAAATGTCTGACAAGCTCTTGCCCACTGTGATATCTCTGACCAAAAGCTACATTTTGAGTCCATCAATCAGTTCCTGTAAGTAAACCTAAAACACATTATATACCAGAACAAACTGTAAACCCAATTAATCTGTATCATGTCCACTATATCATCTCATAGCACACCAAACTAGTCTGATCCTTTTGAAAGGGCATGGCTAAATAGGGTAGTTGATTATGCTTTAAGAAATATGTTAAGTATTAATAGGTGTAATTGGAATATGGCTCTGTTTTTTTTAGATCTGCTAAATATCTACAGTGCGAGAGCAATACTTTAGATAGATAGCTCCCACTGTGATTCCCGGCAGCCCAAGACATTTTCCTCACCACATTAAAAAAATCGTATTTCTCCATTTCTATAATATGCCTTCCTGTCTCAATTCTCCCTAATAATACTCCTCTAATTCGTCATGTAGGCGATTAAGCAGCTCAATTCGCAAACCTCTGCCCCTGTGCTACCCTCTATCTATATCCCTTTGTAATCTTGTTCCAACACAGTATCTATCCTTCTTCCATACTTTCCGTCAATGCATCAGTAATATCTGAAAATAGTTCCCAGGAGTGATTTCACCAAGCTGGGAATGCTATGGCTTGTCTAATCTTCCTGTTTTCCTGACTGTCAAAGATGTCCTGGCTCGCTGGAGAATGCAGCGATGAGCTTCTCTGAAGGGGGGGATGGGCGGCAGGGGAGCAGGAGGGCGGGGAACCAAAGGCCAACAGAATGAGCAATGAAAGCTTTGTTGACACCGCCAGTGGTCCGATTTGTGAATGTGTGTTTGTGTGCAGTTTTGTTCAGTATGGACGCAGGACACACATACACAAAAAACACATAGTGTAGTTGGGCCCTGGCTTTATTTGGTAGTGTAATAATGTGTGTTCTGTGGAAATACCAAGTCTACCAAGATATTCTATTTGTATCAACCTTCATGGGGTTGATAATGTTTGACTTCTGTTAAAACGTTAAAGAGAGATACAACTTCATGATTCAGTTCAACTCCATCCTCCACAATTATCATAAAGTTGAATCTTTAGTATTGTGTTTAAAGTCTGGCCATATTTTCTTTGTGTCCGTGTCTAACATGATAAAGTCAGGGTTAGGACAGTATTCTCTCTTCTGCTTGTACAAAATGTGGAAGTTCAAATACAGTTTATCAAGTTAGGTATTTTGTGCAAAATGTCACGAATTGGGGCAAAGCAACATTTTGTAACCCAAACCTGCTCTTTCACATTGCTCAGTGACATGCTGTCAGTATTGACATGTTTAATTTGAACTGTTTGTTTGTTGGTGTCGCTCCACAGTTCGCTCGCAGTGCTTTAGGAGAACATTCCAGTGTTTTAACAGTGCATTGTTGGGAGTGTTTGGCAGCAGTTTTACCCAGATAGCAGTATGTTACAACAAACAAGGATTATGTAGAGGATATGGATAGAAAAAATAAAAATGCCTCTATCAGATGCTGCCCTGATTCTGTATATCAGATCAGGACATGCGTAGCAATCCCCAACATTTTTGAATGTGTAAATCCTATTCATATTTGAAAAAGTCAAGTTGTGCCTGCATTTGAGATGGCTACAAACAAACGGATTTGAAAGTCCCCTGCATTTATTGACTGAGCCACAAACATATCCTATAAACCTAAAATAATAACCTCTCCCACTAACATTTGGAGCTTTACTAGACGTTCATCTTGCAGATTAAAGTCCACTTGCCCAAATGTTACTTAAAACGTATGCTAGCAATCAAAGCCGTAAACACAACTTTGTACTAGTTTGGTCAGATTTTCTTTGGATCTTTTACAACCGATGCCTTTATTTAGACTTTATATATCTTGCTTATATTCTCTAGTCTAAATGGTTATCTTACATTATAAAGTATAGACATGTAAGGGCTATTTGTACATGTAGCCAACTAAAAGTGTACTTTGTAAGATCTCGTGTTGCTAATTGATAAGTATGTGGTAAAGCAACGTCTAAAGGCTTTGCAATGCAGTCTGTAATTAAATAATACATTTTCCTTATTTTAGATAAAGGGACAAGCATCAGTTGGTTCTCATTGCATCGGCCGGTTCTCTCCTCAGTGCCGAGTTAAAAAGTGATGTCATTATATCCCTAATTGTGAAGACAAACGTGATTTGTTTAAACATTGCAAAGTGTGTTTCATCAACAAATTGTTTACCCCTCTGACGGCGTTGAATCATGCCTGGAATGACCTCATTCCTTTTAAATGTTAACCCATTAGTTTACTGTATATTACTGCAGATCTCATCCCCCCCCTTCTTCCCTGGGGCTCGTGCTCACATCACCTTGGCACAACCTCAGCCCCCCATTCCCATAGTGTTCATGTTTACAATGTACTGTTTTCATCTTGCCTCCTCCCTTCTCCCCATCTTACCCCCAGGAGATCATAGTGGTAAACAGATATTTACAAAATAATCCCAGGTCTACTTAATTAGGCTCCCCTCCCTAATGGCCAGTGTGGCTCCCTGGGATCAACCAGAGCGGAGGAGCCTGGCCAATTATACACCAACACACCCACCATGTGCCCCTCTCTGCACACCGCCCTCCTTGCTGTGTGTTTTAGTTGGTAGTCACAGACACACTGTGTGTATGTATGCACAAGTTTGCTTTAGCGATTTGTGAGATATGAAAGTTAATAAGCTTTCCCGTCTATTCCACTTGCATTGTGCAACATGTCTCACAGGAAATTGAATTGGAAGCAGACAGTGTGAGCTGATGGGAATCCCCCTTATCACCAACAGCAGGGAGAAAGGCATTTCCTGCATTAACACACATCTGAGGAATGTGATCAAAGCCAAACTAATTCAGCATAAAGAGGAATAGATCAATAATTTAACCAGTCAATAACCTTGTATACTATTATTTATGCATTAACAATTTGTTTATACAATCTTTGAACTCATGTGCTTACATTTGATTATACACAACCAAGACATGTATGTTCCAGTATTCCATTTAATGAAATACATTTAAAATATGAAATCATAAAAACAAAAATGTGAGTTAGTCGCTTCGCTTGATAGATGCCTGACAGAAAGAATGAAGTATTGCTAGGGTTTTCATTTTTCAAGTTTATTTATATAGCACCTTTCAACACAAGGCAATTCAAAGTGCTTTACAAAAATGAAATGCATAACTTTTATATACATACATACGGGTTAACATTTTGTCCAATTGTTTCTTTAATCGCAAATAGTCCCCCACTCTCTGCTGGTTAAAAACTGTCTCTTTGTGTCAATGGAAACGTTTTCCAGTTCACCTGACTTGCCTGATTTTTTTTCTGCAGAAATCTTGTAACCACAGGCAATTAACGATATGTTGAATCCCTTTATAATGTTGTATGCGTCTATGATTGAATCAATAAGAGTCACCAAGCTAGTTAATGGTTTAATTTGACACACCAATAGCTCCGTAGCTATGATACATTTGTGGTTAACAAGGCAATGTTTTTGGCTCTCATCGTACAGCCTTTTCCCTCAGCTCCTGTTCAGTTTTTTTTAAACACTCTCAGGGAACAGCAGCTCAATCCCCTAGCCACAAAGCTCCATGGTATCCGGCTTTACGGCACTCCCATATAGCCTCTAGTCTGTTGTCCCCCGGGCTCACCCCTCCTCCCTCTGACCCCAGCGCTTTACGGCACTGTGGGGGGAAATGCAGCTATTCCCTGGCCTTTTCCTACAGTCTCTGAGAGCAAAGGGTAGAGCGACAGAGCCTTTGAGAGAGAAAATTAAAAGGAAGAAAAGAGGAAGGGCCGAAGGCAGGGCAGGAGAGGTACAGAGCATTCAAGCGAGATATAGGAAAAAGGAAGGTGGGTGGAAAACATTGCGAGATTTAGATGGAAGGGGAAGGGGGTTGTAGCTGTCCAGCTCCATGATGGCAGTACAGAGGAAACAGCTAGCTGTAGTTTCTTACATCTAAAAAAAAGTGTGTTTGCTTGTGCTCTGGTGTTTTTGAGTCAACTTGTGTGTGCTACAAAGTGTGTACTGGGTCTACAAAGTCCTGCCATTCTTATACTTTCATACATAACAGAACAAATCTGTGGGATACATAGACCACAAACACTGTTTTGTTTACATGATCAATGATGATACATTAATTACTCTCATATAGATGCATAAACATTATTAAATGTAAGCTAATCTAATTAAAAAAAAGGCTGTCTTATAATGGACTCCTTGTTTTCTGACTGTTATCTTTCTACAAATAGAATCCTATGCACTAAACAAGTGCTCTAAAAATAATCCTATTAGGAAATATCTCTGTTTGCTCCCAAAATGAAATAACCTGCAACAGAACAACACTCACATCAGAAGACGGGCACTCTCCGCAAGTGTGCTGGAAATATTCTGACATACTCAAATAGATTGAAGACAGTGGCTTTGTAACATGAACAAAATATTCCCAGTTTTGCCCTTATTCTGGAAAAGACAACATTCATACTAAGCTGTTTCCATGGCCAGTTACATTTAATACTCAGGTCAATATAGATTTGTTTCTAGCGGTGCTGGACCCCCTTTTTACTTTGTACATCCGCATTTATGAAAATGTCCACAATGCAAAAATGTACGCATTTCCAAAAATCAAATCTATAAAATCTATTCTTAATGAGATGTATACATGTTAAAATAATGCTCATTAAGGCCGAGTAATATGGGCATAACATACATATATGAATTGGAAAACCCCATTCAATATGCTGTATACATAACAGTCATTGTAAATGTTAGTATGCTCCATATAAGGACGTTTGACCTGAGAAAAACGTCAATCCTCAATTTGCCAAGACAGTGCGACTATTTTATTTCCTTCGCAAAAGGTAAATGTCACAGATGACCAAAGTCTGGCTGCGACTGTGAGACTACTTTCTATTGAAGTTGGATGTAAATAGTTTTTTTTGTCTGTGTGTCGACAGGTCTCGCTCAGTGGGGGGTCTTAGCAGGATTTGGTCTAGCAGTTGCTCCCAGAATCGTCTCCAGGAGCCACGCGGACGTCACCGACTCTCCACTGTCATCCAACCACTGCGCCAGAATGCTGGGGAGGTGGTGGACCTCACTGTGGATGAAGATGGTAAGAAATAAACTCAGGGAACATCTTCTTTTACTTTTTCTGATCAAACCACCTGCCAGCAGTGTTGCTATGTGAAGGTCTTAGACATTCCTCTTTTGTACGTTTTAATGGATGCTTAGATAGCTAAACACAGATGTGCATACATTATCCACTTAGTCATAAGAATAAAGAGATTGTTGTTCTTCAATATTAACCATTCATGTTAACACATTTAACTTTTTGTAAAAGGGAGCTGCTTCAGAACTATAGGTGTTTGTGGGACTTTCTTTATCAGCCCCCGCCCATGACGCTGGGTATTAGAGCATTTGCATTTCCAATGAGTTGGAGGGAAATTAATTTGTGAATATGAAAAGCAGATGTAGTGCACACACTGGAATACTAATAGGCTCTTCTGTTGTCTTCCACTGATAAACCAAACCAGCCTGTGTGAAGTTCACACAGGCTACAGGCCATAAGATAGACCCTCCAGAAAAACAAGATTCTGCGATCACATAATTTACAGCATAATCAGCGAAATGGCGCAGATTTTTAAAAAGGCGCATATTTATCAAAAGGCCGCATAATCCCCGCATTTTTCCACACAAAGTTGAGAAAAAAAAAAAGTTAACTCGACTTGACGTGAAGTAGTGATGATGATGACGTGACGTCATCAGCTCGCGCATCACAGAAGGTAAACAACACCGAGACTGCCAAGGCACACACTCACACGAGAGAGAAAACACCAAGATGAAAACATCTGATCCATCTCATTTACCGACGAACATTTCTGCTAAAGACCGGGCAAAGCAGTACCCCGATGTCTTTCACGAAAGTGGGGGGAAACTATTCTGCACCCCGTGAAACTGTGTGTTGGAGCATAAGAGAAAGTCGACGGTGACGACCCACTTTGATTCATTCAA